AACGAAAATGAAAATTTGCTTGATAATTCAACTACGCTTGTTGGAGAACAATAAAAACACTACACTCAACAAGCCACCAATAAAACTCAACTGCCTAACCTATAACCAAAGTCTCCTTTTAATTTGTTTTTAAAAAAAAGCGCTTGACAAACTTGCCCCGCATGCCGAAGTTGCCCCGGTCTCCCCTATATATATATTATATTAAATTATTATATATCTTATCTTATATATATTATACTATATATATATATATCATATTACATAGTCAAAATATGAATGAGATGATGGAAACATCATCGCTTCTTTATGTATTTTTTTTAAATATGTATCTACAAAACGGTTTTAGAAAATAATTCCGTAGGTTATCGGGTAATAACTTTAAAAAAAATTGAAAAGAATGTCCTAAATTTCCAGTTGTATAATTCGATATTCCTAAAGTATTGATGGCACTCTTGGCGTAAGAATCTGGATCCGGCGCGAAGAACGAAATCCGCTTCCATATATTATGACTAAAATCAATGAGTTTAGTAATCACCATACATGGAATGAGAGTTTGGAAGACAATACCTGGATATCTTTCTTCAGAAAGACTCAAGCTGAGAATTCTACCGCATGCTTTAGATGCACCATAACAAGTGAATAGACTGGTTCTATATAGTGACATGGCACTCGATAAAGTCACTATAGCGCCGCGCTTCCTCTTCGACATTTCTGGTAAAATTACCGTGTTCATTATTAAAATAGAATTGATATTTACTTGGATAATGTCCAGGAGATTTCGCTCGCTAAACGGTAAGAAATGGCAAGGAATGGGACCGGCAATTCCCACGTTATTAACCAATATTCCTATATCTTTATCTTTCAAGCCGTCTTTTATGTGTTCGTATACATCCCATCCGCTGGTAAAATCGGCTTGGATGATCTCCACGTTGACATGGTATTTATTTTCTAATTCTTTGGCAGTATTTGCCAACTTTTTCAGATTTCTACTCACCAAAATGACGTTCATTCCTCTTTCGGCTAATTCCTTGGCGTAGGATTTTCCTATTCCGTCCGTAGAACCGGTGACGACTGCCCACTTTCCGAACTTCTTAAAGTCGGTTGATATGAATCTGGAGAGAAAAAATAACTTGGCTCCAACGACGAGGATGTTTAACAGGTAAACTAAAACTAGAAAAGCAAAAATAAGTCCGATACTTGAGAGGAAATAAACTTCAACTGATTGACATTGGAACATGGTCGACTGAATGTCTGTGTGGTTTCTGTTGTATCAAAAGCAATTTCGTTGTCTTTGTTAGGCGTGATGTAGAGTAAATAACTATAAATTCAAGCTAATATTACTCTGAAAATTTAAAAATTATCACTTACAATTTTCTTTTATACTTAAATAAAAAGCATCCTGTTCGAGGAAACGTTAATTTATCCTCTATTATTTATAAATAAAAATCATAAACTTATTCAAAAATAATTAATAGGATAAATTATTCTGTTTTCCTGTATAAAATTTTGTATGTTCTTAACGATTTTCCTGCTGTAAAATTGAAAAAATAAAAGGCTCATACGTGTATTTCACTCTGGGTTGAATTTGTATGGTTTGTACTTTTTAGAAAAACTGTAGTTTTATTTTTGAATTGTCGAAAGATAAATATAAATATACTTGTAGATAAGATGTTTTTCAACACTGATGAATGTAGAATTCCTGTATATATCAAGTGGAAAAGAAACAACTGAAGGGACTAACAAGTAGTAACAAAACACTCTGTGTAGATTTGGAAGAAACGAACTTATCACTGTTAAAGAACTGGTGTTCAACTACTTTTATATAAGTCTACTTTTTAAAAAGTTTATATATTTAAACTTTATATATATATATATATTAATACCATCAAGTTTATATATTCTCAGATCAGAAAACTGCATAAAACCTTAAGAAAAATTGTTTTATATTATGAGAATATCCAAAACTAATTGCTCCATAGCGTTAAATTAATATTTGGAACACAACAATAGCAGTATAGAGTGTAATGAGATGAATCTTTTAAATATAGGTCCACGTGTATTTTTTTTTATTTTTATTTTTTGTTTTTGTGTTAAAAGAAAATCAGTAATTATCGTATGTGTATGCAGCATAGCTCCACAATGTAATAAATGTATTTCCTGATTGATATTTACAATAAAATTAATTAAAGTTATGAATTGATGGAAAGATCAATCAATTGACATGATAACGTCTTTTAACAATGTGAAGTCAATTGAACACAATTAAACAACTGACGAGGTGAGAAAAACTGGTTGCGAAGTGAATTTGATGTGAATAATTAATTCTTTCCGCCCTGTGGGCACTAAGAGGAGGTTTTTAGTAGACCCATTATGGATTCGGTTAGGCCCTCAATGGGGAGGCCGGGTGGTGAGGGACGGGGCCCGATATATCCAGATAGACAATCCTTCCGAAAAATTCCTGGAGATTTTTCGCCTGTTTTCCTCCTTATTTAGAAATCCTTAATTATACTCTTTTCTAGTATACTAGCAGTTATCCAAACACTAATACACCCGTTAGCAATGGTGTTGTATTTAGAGCAACATTTGCTTAATATAGAAGTGGGAAATTTGCGAACTTTTGTAGCTACTAGTGAGGAGTGACGAAATGTAAATATATAATTAAAATGAGAATAAAAGAATTCAAAAAATGAAAAAAATGACGCTAGCTTTAAAATTTTTTAAAGCATCCATTGACTCTAATGGCTGCTTTAAAGAACGTAGAGTTCAATATAACTACAAAATGCCAAGAAAATACGTCTGATACACTCGAATACTCATCTTTGGTCAGGCCCACACGTACAGTATTATGGATACAAACAAGGCTTTTTTTTATGCCGTCTATGATTAAGGGCCTCGTTTGTGTCACAATACAAAAGAAGTTTAAAAAAACCGTAAATTAAATGTCCACCCGAATTATCTTTAATAACGAAATGACTTAAACAAAGCTGACTTAAATACATTTTCAAATAATCCAATACAAAAATATTGGGAGATATGTTCCCTCTGTCTTATCTCGATCTATTTCCATGTCTATAATAAGAGGCTATTTGACTATATAGCCAGCTCGTATGATTAAGAAAATTAGAGAAATTAAAGTAGTAACCTGATATGCAAAGTAGTATGTGTGTCAGGCTCTTAGGTAGTTCAGAAACTCAGAAAATATCTAGGTAGTATGAGGCGAAAATAGCAAATTCCCTTGTTAGTTTGGCTAAAATTGAAGCCCATTTTATATAATATAAAATTGTATCATATTATACAACATCTAGTATCTTGAATAGTAGTCCATAGTTGACGAAGATCGTAGAGAATCTTAGTCTTTTTGGGGTTACGAAAAGACAAGACTAAAGAAAGTTCTGAATTGTTAACAGGAATCTTTAAAAAAAGCTGAAGTTTATCTTCTTTATACAAACAGGAAATTAATTAAAAACTCACATCCTTTCTTAGATAAAATCTGTGCAATTAATACTAACACAAATTATAATCAGCCGGATGAAGTGCCATATGCAATATTTCATGTTAAATACTAGTCATAACTCGAAGAAGAAAGTGAGAAAATGAACTCAACTGTGAATACTTTTATATTATTTTTGGCAATTTTTGGAAGCGTAAGAGCATTTGTCATCGAGGAAATATTAGATGCTTTTTGTTGTAAATATTAACATATTTATTTCATCTTCTGTAACATGTTAAATATATATGTATAATCGTATTTAAATAATTTACAGCTACCCCACAGCATCTTTTCAAGAGATACCTCAACTGTACTTTGAATGAAAGTCCAGAATTATTTCGAAAGGTAAGGAATTTTTAATTGATAATTTGCAAAATTTTTCATAATTAAAATTCTTTTTTAATAAGGCAAGTGATATCGTTTACAACTGTGTTGATGAATATTTTGAAAACGATGGAAAACTAGAGGGTTTTGTATTGTTCCTATGTGACAAATATGTACAAGATGATGAAGACGTAAGTATAAATATTTTTTTTTTCTTTTTCATAATAATAAGCGCCATTGTGAAGTTAAAAGTGGTCAAAGGTGTTAGCCTATCGCTTTGGGGATCGAATTCGGGGACAATGCCCTGTGAGCATTAAGAGGGCCTCTTTTAGCAAGCCCATTATGGATTCGATCAGGCCAACAATGGGGAACGGGGTAGTGAGGAACTGAGTAGTGAGGAACGGGACTCTATTGTGGGACTGGCCGAACTCATAACTGATATGGAATAAAAGCCCTCTTCTCAGTACCCACAGGGAGGAAATAACCAAAAAATTTAAACGTGTTTTAATTGTTTTAAATTACCTGCAAAGCATATGCGAAGCAGGTTAATTAAAAGAGGAGTACCTCAAGCCAGTAGCATTTAATGCTACAGGTCAGAGGGAGTGCTCCACTAAATGTGAATGTGTGTTTTAAATGACTTATTTTCTAGTGTAATTAAACTTAATTTACATATTAAAGTATTTTAATAAATAATTTCGTTATAATTGCTCAGGTAAAAAGTTGCTTGCAGAGGAAAGAAAATGTAAGTTTTCTATAAATATCTTTATGTTTATATATTTATATTTCCTATAAGAAAATTTTTATTTATTTATTTATTTATTTATATTTTATAGTTCATTCCAAATCCAAAAGAGGAGGAAGTCATGGAGATGCTTAAATATGCAGTATATTGTATGATGTATGCTTAAATATTCAAACTTTTGAACAATTTATATCACGAAATATTTTTTCGTAAATGATAAAATAAACTGATTTAAAATCGCAACTTTAAGTATTTTATTGTCATATACTCAAATTTTCTTTCCTGGCCGTGACTTAAGCCCAAAGGTACATATTGGCTCCATAACTAAAAAGGCCGATATACATTACACACACATATATGTATATATACTGTACCCTCGACTGTACCAGTGATTAGCAGTCCACCAGTGGTCGAGTGGATAAAATCACGAACACTGATGGTCGTGGGTTCGCACGTGGCCAGCCCGCTGGCCACGTGGAATTTTCCGATTTCTCTTCAGTAACGCCTAAATAGAGACCAGTTTCCCATAGAAAGTCCTCATGGGAGACAATAAGGAAGTATTATTGCTTATATAAGAAATTATATCCAAATTATAGATATGTTATAGTTAAAAAAAAGCTATCTGGTTGGTATGCAATTAAATGCATACGTGTCATCCATATTGAATTTTAATTACTTTTCGGTTCACTAGATTGCGCTTTGATTTCTATATTAGAACTGGGAGATCCAGTTCCGCTGCTGGAACTGGAACTGTTGGAACTAATCCGAGTGAGGAACTGTTCCTCGAAACAATCAAGCTAGACGATTCCTCGAAATCATTATGTAATGTCGGAATTGTTTAGCCTATTAGATTAGACACATATCTACTGGTTAATAATACAACAAATAATTTCAATAATATATTTTTTGTATTAGTAATAAACAATAATATACTTGCGATCCCTTCAAATATATTATCGCTATAATATTATAAGCGGANCTTTGTTCAACTTTCAAGTTAACTAATAAAAATGTAAATAGGGGAAGGTGGGGCAGGATGAGAACGTTAAGGTTTGAAAAGCCATAAGATGGCAATCACTTTATTTGGTATAGTCAATATTTTTTGGATTTTCTAATAGATAAAAAAAAATAATAATGATAAAATATTTCATTTATATTTAAGTTAAAAATATGTTAATATACTGCTGGCCAAGTAAAGTGTAACACTATGTAGGCTTCTAGATATTGCAGGTATTGCATTTTACTTGGCCAGCAGTGTATTTGTCGAGTATAAAATCCATTTAAAGCAATGAAATCAGAATGCCCCAAAGGACAATACCATTCTATGATTGACAGTATTAAAACACATGAGTTAGTTTAATTTCATACATTCATTTTAATTTTGTTTTAATGTTATTTATTGTAAACAATGTGACCTGAAGTTAGCATTGGCAATTTTCTCGACAATGACATGATCTAGAATCCATTTTCACATTGTTAAAGTAATAAAAGACTAAATAAAGAAAAATCTTCAACATTATTATTAAATTTTCTCTATTTACACAAAGTTCTATGAATGCCATAATGTATTGAACATTAAAGAACAGCAGAAAATGGTAAAAAATTTATTTACTTATGAAGATCCTTTACCATTGTTGAACATTCAACAGTGTGTAGAATACGCGTGACAAGTAAAGAATACTTAAAAATCATTGGCAAAACAGAAGAATTTGGCATGAAAATGATAATAAAATTATAATTCCACCAAGAATAGGAATAATGATTCTGGTGTATAAAGAACACGCAACAATCTATGGCCCAATAGAAGAATGATAATGAAATCAAAATGGCTCATGTCAGTAAATGAACGAAAGAAAATGAGCATGTGAACCATAAACACGTTCATTTTCTTTCGAACAAATCCAAAAATTTAACTATTAATTTTTTTTTTAAAGTGTATCCTTTCAAGATTTACAAATCACCATTCAAATGAGTGCTTTGTTCATAGCAATGTTTCAAAATTAAACGAAATTTTTGAATTGTTGGCTAATTCTATCGATTGTTTATATAAAAACGTATAATATAGAAGGTTATAAACTATAATTTTTATAATTAAATAAATTAAAACATTCGATCAAGAGTTCTTGGTAGTACCAGTTTTTGAAGGAAACAAAAAATAAAATCGAGGTTAATCTAATAAATAAATAAATAAATTCGACATTAAAAACATTAGTTTTTAAAAAAATATATAAATTTTTGTCTTTTTTATAATTTAATTTTTTGATAACTTTCGATAGCAGTTTACAAATGTAAACTGGCTTGCAATAGATAATATCTACTGAAAGCCAGTTTTCCTCTAGTGATGTCTGTGGCACATCTAGTGTCGGGTATAAACTTATAGCCATTTAAGAGGCCCTCCACCTCCATTAAATAGTAAAGGCCTAAACTGTATCCTCGTAGCCTCAGTCTTTAAATTGTAATTAGTATCGTGATGCCCTAAATTGTAGCTTCGTATCGCGAGGCCCTAAAGTGTAAGTCGTTTAGTTTGTGTGTAAATCCAACACTGGGTACAATCTCATTGTATCATCGTTGTGGAAGAATGCACCGATGGACATGAATACTAATGACTTTATACTTCAGTATTGAAGTAATTTTATATGATAAATGATATATTACTGAATAAAAAATAACCTGTGATTATGTTATTATCACAGCTTGTATTTGAATGATAGTATCAGCATTATGATTAGTATATTACATTACAAGTTATGAAGAAACAAGATGATTGTTTGCAATTTTAAGCTGTGAAGAATTAATATAGAACTTTAACTCAATTTAAGAGGATAGACCCTTTTAATAGGTTTTGAGACTCCCAATTTCTTTAAAGGCATTGGGACATAGAAACGTGCAGTAGAACGAGGCCGTTAAGAAGGCATGACCTCCAGCTATGGCTTGGTATAGGCCTATCCATGCTTATATGAAACCATGGTATATCTATACTCATTTAACACTACATCGAGGGAAATTAGAAACACAGAACACTTAAATACATTGTTTTATATTTATATTAGAAAATATAGACTAAATGAAAGGAGCACTGAAAGATAATTCACATTACATTACTTTAATATATATATATATATTTTTAAAATTTTAACGAATAAAATTATACTTATTTATAAAATTTAAAAAGGGTAATGTTTGAAGCGAAATCGACCTCGACTTAACAATATATTTGTACATTAATTTCAGTTAAATGGTAAATAAAAGGATTTTCTAGGACAGAAAACATTACGAAATTGGAAACTAAGATGATATTTTTCCAGTCATTAACCTCGAAATATATGGGTATTCGCTTACTGTCCTACATAAGCCAACTTTCAAGTCAACTTTCAACCATCGAGTGGAAATGTAAACAGTCTGTTTAACATTTTTAGAAATTTTATATTGAAATTTTAATTCAACTTTGTTCAACTTTCAAGTTAACTAATAAAAATGTAAATAGGGGAAGGTGGGGCAGGATGAGAACGTTAAGGTTTGAAAAGCCATAAGATGGCAACCACTTTAATGAAAACAATAATTTTTTTATTCTCAGCAACTACAACATTTGGTAATATATAATAGAGGAAAAGGTGGCATTATGGAACGCTGCGGGTATTATGGAACCACCTCATTTCGAACTGATAATAAAGGCAAACTGTAGCGGATTGTGGCTGAATTGAACTAGGCAGACATCCATAGCAAGGAAAAACCCGTTTTACTTCAGTTAAATGGTTGTCTGTATTTAATCAGCAAATTTGTTTTTTTTTTTCAAAATTCACAAGTTTTGAATGCTAAGCGAATTTAATTATTTTTAAAATATAAATCGTGTAGTTGTAGGTTCACTGGTACATGTATTCCGTTCAGGAGACTTAGGAGTACATATTAATCTGTGTGATGTTCACATTTTTTAAATTTTGGTCTTGACAGACATAAGTTAATTCGAGATGGCGATGCGTGAAATACGGACCCCATTGGTGCTTTTACAGTAATATGGAACTCAACTCCTTCGAACTTTCTATTTGCAAGCACACATTCCTCCGGAGCAATTTGTGAAAAAGACACTAGGTAGAAAGTCAATTCTTCCTGAGAATATCGAAAAAAAGCTGCTGGNTTCTAACGAATTTTTCCTAAAAATCGGTATTTTTCTTTGTAAAAATCTCTTGCGTATGTTTATAAATTAACTACAAAAGTGAGATCAGTATTCGCTTTTGTGTCATTAACCGGTTATCAGCTTATAAAACACGACTGGTCGCTTGAGAGTTGCGCTTGATTGACAGCTATGTGTAGTTACGCAATGTCTTGTCTTTGCATACAGTTGAACAGCTACATCTGCTCTAACTCTACATAATGATAGAAGAGAAATGCTCTAGGTTATAACCACCACAATAATCAATAAATTTATATATGAATATTCGATTTCACTCTGTTCTAATGCAGTTTTTACATAGGCCTACCTTACAGGGCTAGATTTTTAAGTTATTTAACTAATTAATTTATATCATTTTTGTGCGTACAAAGTAAATTTTTTAAATTATTTTTGTTAAATTTCAAATGATATTTTAATAAATTAACCGGTTTTCTCGATTTGTAAGCGTACAATTCAGCAACAATGATAAATCGAACCTTATATTTTGAGCCTTAATTATCAGTCAACCCCCCTATAACACTGTTGATTTTTCCATTTTATATGAATTCCATGTTATACGAGTCACTTAGATTTTATAAATACGTGAGCCGTTCACAGCCCGGCACACGTATTTGTAAAATCTAAGTGACTCGTACAACATGGAATTCATATAACACGAAATTATCAACAGCGTTATAGGGGGTCAACTGTATTTTAAAATTATATGTAAATGCGTCATCTGGCCCCATCCGTGGGATAAGATGGGAATATTATTTTTATATATAAAAAGAAGAATAATAACAAGAACAATGTGTCCATTTATCACAGCGGCTACATTTATTATTATTTTCCGAATAAATAAATATAAAAGTTTGAACTTACTCGTATTTACTTTACCAGACGATACTGTCACTTCGCGCATGCTCAGTTTCGCTATTTTGTAAACAGACGATATTTTTTTTTGTGGAAAAAATTTTTATTTCGATTGTTATCTCACATTTTATTTCTTGTTAAGGTAATATTTAAATTAAAAAAATGTTTTCACAAATAAAATAAAACGTAAAACATAAATAATAAAGTAATGCAGTACTCTACATACTGTATAAATTTATTACAGTTAGATATAATTTAAAAGTGGAATACTGTATTTCATTTTCTATAAAAAGATCATTTTTAAACTTATTATTTTATATATTCGAAAAAATAATATAGAATTATTAATGACAACGAATTTAAAACTAGTTCACTGCTCTACACTGTATATATATATTTTTTTGTTTTGTTTTTACGCTTTCTGCCCTGTGGGTACTAAGAGGGCCTCTTTTTGCAAGCCCATTATGGGTTAGGCCAGACCCACAATGGGGCTGCCGGGTGGTGAGAAACGGGGCCCGACATATCCGAACGGACCAACCCCCGATAAATTCCTGGGGATTTTTCTACCCGTTCGGATTCGAATCCGTGTCCCCCAGAGCGGTAGGCTGCCACCTTTGATCGTTCGGCTATCCAGCCGCCACGGGACTATATTGCAGTGCCTCTAGCCAGCAGCAGAATTCATGGCCAACCTTGGCCATGAATTCTGCTGCTGGCCAACGTGCCTTTTTCATACTGACTGCAAATACAGATCAACTTTATTTTAAAACTAAACAATTTCAGTCTTAAAGGTTACTTCGAATATCATAATATATTCATCTAAATGGTAATGTGAAAGTTTACAATGATGCTTACTTTGTAGAAACTTTGTAGCGGGCGTAAAATTAGATGAAGTATTGCCGAAACGTGGAAAACTGTCTTACTTCCAAACAAAGAAAGCGATTCCTCTCGTCCCGTGATCCCTTTTGGATCACGAGACGAGAGGGATGAGGTTGACATTTAGTTCCCCAAATAACAGGTAGATGAAAGCGCGTTAACTAACCACGAATCCCGTTAAACAGACGTCCCGTCTTACCCCATGGCCCCATCTTTCACCACCTTCTCCTAATAATTTGTGTAGGATTTAAGGAAATTCTAAACAAACCTTTGACTTTCGATGAAATTTTCAAGCAAACCTTTGACTTTCGATGAAATTTTCAAGCAAACCTTTGCCTTTCGATAAAATTTTCAAGCAAACCTTTGCCTTTCGATGAAATTTTCAAGCAAACCTTTGCCTAAATTTTCAAGCAAACCTTTGCCTTTCGATGAAATTTTCAAGCAAACCTTTAACTTTCATTGAAATCTTCAAGCAAACCTTTGACTTACGATGAAATTTTTAAGCAAACCTTTGACTTTCATTGAAATTTTCAAGCAAACGAGTGAAGATGTAAGCCAATATTGAAATTTAAGAAATCTTTGACATAATTTATTTAACTTTATTTAATAAATTCACGAATTGTCGAGTGCATTAACCATATTATTTTTTTTTTGAAATTTACAAGATTTTTTAAAATAAAAAAATTAACTTTTTTTCTAAAATTTTACATTTTTCAAAACAAAGAACAAAAGATTTTTAAAGAATTTAAATTGACTTTCCTAAACTTTAGATGTATTTCAGTAAATTTAGTATTGAATAATGAGAATTTTGAATTGTTACGATCCAAATTCTCATTAATTTCTTAAAAACCTCAGCAGAAAATCTTAAAATTCTGTACATAAATTCATACAAATTATAAACGATGTTTTTACAGTAAAAATTTTACGTTTAAATTTAGATATTTGTATAGAAAAATGGTCAAAATTCTAGGTTAGTGAGTTAATGCAATTCGTAGATTCTTAATGGTACTTTATGGGCTTCTAGGTTAAATATTCTCGTTTGAATGTTATTATAATGTATAAATTTATTATTTGAATGAAATTATGGTACTTATAAATGGCGAAATTCGCTTATTTCGTCATTTATAAGAGCACAATTGTCCTATGTAAAGATGTGAACACAAAGAGTTAATGATGTGGAATACAGCATTAAAAATGCATTTTTTGATATTTTAAATGGTTATTTTAAAAATATATTTCTTTTAATTTATCATTTCCTAGCGATAAATAAATATTTCTGTGTATAAATGTCCTTATTTAGTTAAAATGCTATGTAACTATGTCAAGATAACATGTCGAAAGTCTCCAAGTATCATCTGAAAGATCGCAAGTTCAAAGTTCATTTTAAAAATGACTTATCACATGAAATTCGTGAAGAAAATTAAAATAAAAATTAAATTTTATGAAACTTTAATTAAATTTATGAAATTTCTTATAGTTTTTTTAAATATAAAGCTTAAATTTTTTAAGTCAGAAACTCGTAAAATTTGCCTAAAAAAACACTCCAAAATTTCAAATTTTATTAGGAAAATGTACAAAAAACATATTAAAATTTAATAATAAATTAATATATTTTTTTACAGTTTGGTGTATATTATTGATGCTATTTATCTATTTAAAAGCTTTAAAATACATGTAAAATATGCATAAAAATATATAGCATAATTATATTTAATAAATAATTTAATTCGTTTTTATTTAAATGAAGTATTTAACGTATAAATCAACAAAATTTGTAAGCAAATAACGCGAATTAGATCCCAGAAAAGGATAAGGAATTTACAAAAATGTAAACATTTTTCCTTTTTTTACAATAAATATTACAAAATATATAAACATAATTATGATATTATCAACTGTAAATAAGGATAATTGAATTATTTTAATAGAATAATTTGATTAAATTTAAGAATTTTAAATAATGACCCCCTAAAGGAAGAAATTTTATCATACAATAAATCTAACTCACGCATGGCGAAACGTGTCCTAATTTTGTTATTTATTTAAATCGACCGAAGAAAAATAATAAAATTTCATTTTAAAATATGTTTTAAATAAATTTCTTTAATTATTTTCACGTATTTCAAGCAAAATAAGCGAAAAATTTCATACGAAATGATTGTTGAAAGATGGCTTTTTAGGCAAACAATTCATTAATTTCATTGATGTTTTGAGTTAATTTTGTTAATTATACATGAAAATATATAACATAATTAATTAATTAACATTTAAAACATGCGATTTTATAGCCTTGAGAGCATTTTTCCTCAATTTTTCTATTGAAACACCTTGAGACAATTCTTATCACAAATAATCAAAGATAAGGAAGTATACATTTTATTATGGCATATTAATGCCTTGTTACCCTAATTTTATACAATAAATAAGAATTGTAAGCGAATTCTTGTATATTTTTTAACTATGTAAGTGTTTACAATGAAATTGCTATCAAAACTCGTTGATCACTTCCGTTTCCTCTTTCATTTAATTTAGAAGAATTGGTTACAGACATACATACAGACATATCATTAAAAATTAACTATGATAATCGAAATTCCAATAAATTTCTTAAGCTTAATGTTACGAAATTTCTAATTTGTCATAGAGTTAGAAAAACTATGGGAGTGGTCGATATAGCCTATATAATGTGTAGTGGAGAAAGTAAAAGGGATGTAATGTGAAACTAACGATAATTCACAGAGATTACAAATTATTTCTTGTTAACTTACTTAATGTAAACTTAAATAAAAGTAATAATCAATGTCTTACAATTGCAGTTTTTTGTATGAATTTTTAACATTAAATCAATATAAATTAAATGTGGTATTAAATATTTTGATTGAATTTTGCACTAAACTTTTTACAAAATCAAGTAAAATTTTTGTCATTGTTTAGTTTTTAGCTGAATTTTCTGAAATTTATCCAGTTTTTCAGCCGAACTTTCTAAAATTATTCAGTTTTTCAGCCGAATTTTCTGAAATTATCCAGTTTTTCAGCCGAATTTTCTGAAATTATCTAGTTTTTCAGCAGAATTTTCTGAAATTAGCCAGTTTTTCAGCCGAATTTTCTGAAATTATCCAGTTTTTTAGCCGAATTTTCTGAAATTTATCCAGTTTTTCAGCCGAATTTTCTGAAATTATCCAGTTTTTCAGCAGAATTTTCTGAAATTATTCAGTTTTTCAGCCGAATTTTCGGATATTTATTCATGTTTTCATCCGAATTTCCTGAAATTTATCCAGTTTTTCAGCTGAATCTTCGGATATTTATTCAGTTTTTCAGCCGAATTTTCGGATATTTATTCAGTTTTTCAGCCGAATTTTCGGATATTTATCCAGTTTTCCAGCCGAATTTTCGGATATTTATCCAGTTTTCCAGCCGAATTTTCGGATATTTATCCAGTTTTCAGCCGAATTTTCGGATATTTATCCAGTTTTTCAGCTGAATTTTTGACTTTATAATTCGATTTTCGTGAGTTAAACTTATCAACTGTTATCCAATTTTCTACATTAACAATGGTAAATTTCATTGCAAACAGTTTACAATTATCACAATTTATGATTTATAAACTGATAAGTAAGAAGAATAGAAAATAATTAAGTGTTAAACAGCAAAGAAAACTCTAACATCTGTCATATGACAAAGTACAGTATATTTACTTTTCTAATTTAAAAACACTTATAATCAAGTTATTTCTTTAGAAATATTTATATTATAAAAATAAATATATAAATATACGTTTCAAAATAACGTCGAAAGATCCAATTGAGTATAAAGTAAAAATTGATACAAGGCCAAACATTTATGATATTCCATCTGATATCATGATAACAAGAGAAATCTACTTTACTGTTACCTTCTAAATGAAGATGAAACAATGGCCTATAATCCTGACATATATTCTAAACGCTACAAATATCCTTGAAATAACCATATTCAGGGGTTATAATTTAGCTCCTGGTCCTTGGGAAGTTTAGAAAAAATCCGGTTTAAGCCCTTCTACTTCATCCTTCAACTTCATAATAGTTAAATAGTAGTTTTCCTTAAGTGCTTACAGACGAAAAAAAAGAGAGAAAATAACTGTATTTGTGTCAACGTAATCTACGCTATTGGTTAACAGATAATCGGCGTAACGAGAAGAAAAGGAGAAACCAGATAGTTACACTCTCACATGAATATGGAGTTTGGTGAACACGAAGTTGTCTTAACCTATATTGGGGCAATTGTCTGTTTATTTGGTGCGGTTTATGTCGTAGGAAAGATTCTAGATGCTGTGCAGACTTTTCTAGTTCCTACATTAACAAAGAAGAATCTTAGAGGATTTGGTAAATGGGCTGTTATCACAGGAGGTAGCAGCGGTATTGGAAGATCGTATTCTCAACAATTTGCTAATTTGGGTTACGATATATTGTTAATAAGTAACGAGTTAGATGAACTAAAGGTAGCTTCTGAAGAAGTACGAACCCACTATGGTGTCGAAACACAAGTAATCTGTGTGGACTTTTCTAAAATGGATGAGGCATATAGAATCATTAAGAAAAAAATAGACGATAAAGATGTTGGTGTGCTCGTTAATAATGTTGGTATTAGAGGCAACCAGCCATGTTATTTCTTAGATGAATCATCATCTTGTTTGAATGCAATGGCAAATGTAAACTGTCTGGCTGCAGTGATGATGACCCATTTAATCATTCCACAGATGTTGAGGAAAAATAAAGGAATTGTAATTAATTTGTGTTCTGTTGGGGCTCTCTTACCGATGGCAATGGGATCGATTTACTCGGCAAGTAAAGCATTCACGGATTTATTTACGAGGACTCTTCAAACTGAGTATAAAGAAACTGGTATCATTATACAAGGAGTTTCTCCATTTTATGTTTGTACCAGAATGACACAATTTTCGGAAGATCTTAGTAAACCCAGTTTTATAGTCCCAGAGAGCGAAGAATATGTTCGAAATGCTATGCGTACATTAGGAGCGAAACATTTTACTTCAGGTTATTGGCCTCATTCTATAATGACTGGAATTTTGTATCTGTTACCAGTCTGGTTCGTCCAATATCTGAACTTTTTACAACACGATATATTAAAATCCAGACATAATAATTCAATTGAAAGAACGAAGAAGCCAAGTAGTAAGGAATATTTTAATTGGTTAAAAACTTTTATTAGCCATAACGAAAATATCGAGAATTTAGACAGTAAAAATCTATGAAATCTCCTTTTCTTTCCTATTCCTACATTTAAATAGGTTAGATTTATATAGTTTAGAGCAATTTTTATATAATTAAGATCACAATATGAAAGTGGTATTACGAGAGAATGAGCGTAATAGTATGAGAATGTAATTTTATTGTTATCTATGACAATTTTTTTTACTATATAACTAGTTATAAATCTTGTTACACCGGTAGTAAAATTCATTTTTTTTTATTTTAACACATTGTTAAGAAATGTGTTAATATATGTAACTTAATTTCTGTTCAATCCTTTGTAAATAAATTTGCTTTTATTAAATGTGTAATTAAAGCAATAAGAGAGAATCTTTTCGATATTCCATGTTTGATATAGGAGTAATGTACACGAGAAAACATTATACTGTTCCATATAGAGAAAACAGTTTTACGCTGATCTTGTCGTACCTTCTGTAGTAGTAACATACAACATATGTGAAGAGGAGCACCACGAAAATAAAGTTTAATTTATAATTTGTTTTCCACTAATTATGTGTACTATACAACTTAAGGGAAAAGGTGAGTCGCGAAAGGTATATTACTACAGACGATGGAAAGGAGATCGTCGAGGTATTGTCTACGTGGATTCTTTTAATGGTATTAGTGGCATGGAGATTTCTTTTTATAAGTGTACTTTCTAGTTATGTGAATAAGCTAATAGTAAATATTTGTAAAAATGTTCAGTCACTTCTTTAATATCGTGAAATTGGTTAAAACATTGTACACGTAATTAAAGGGAAAAGAATTTGATAAAAGTTCTCATTGTATGCAAAAGAAAAGAGAAAAAAAATGGCTAAAAACTAAAAATAATTATTTAGAAGGGAAATATAGAACATGAAATAGGGATCCATGTTATCTCAAAATTTTCATGGATGAAATGACTAGAATACATCGATCGCATCACTCATCACTTGCCACTATCGTTGAGGACCTGGGTGTAATTTAAAAGGCATCATAATGCCCACAAGGCAAAAAGAGTTCAAGACAATTACCTTCAGTATGAAGAAAGTTAAAAAAAAAACATTTAAGCTAAAATACTACCTTTAAGATCTAGAGAAAATTTAAAATTTTACGTGAACTTTAATAACGTTCAAGCTATTTCAACTGTTCTACTTATGCTAGGATTATGCTATTTTTTCTATAATTATTATTCTCATTTCTTACTTCACTTAATCTGATATTATTTCCTTGATATCCAAATAAATAAATCTTAAAATCACCTTTGTCTCCCCCTTCTTTACTAGGATATTTAAACCAGTTTCCTTAATGACGAAGGTTAATTATTTTTTTTTCTGTATTAATTTAAGAAATAATCGCTTGTTATTGAATGAAATTTTCCTGGATAAACATCAAAATGTGATTATAAAGCCGTGCATTCGTATTTTGATTTGTATAGGTTATCGAAATTAAATCTCAGATTGTCAATCTATCAACCGATGTATTAATTAACTTATCAAAATTGTTATTTAGGTTGATAAGTTTGTATATCCTTTATTGACATAAATACTTCTTGTGAAGGACTCTATCTAAAGTGTTTCAAGAAAATTCATACATAGCTATTCCTCATTTAATTTAGAGAAATCAGCATAATTCAACATAGGAATATTACACTATGTCTACTGAATAACAGATCAAGAAATCTTTAGAGGGAGGTGCAGAAACAACATGTCTTTCAAAACTTTTTATTCCTTGAGTTATACTCTTAATTCTCTCCTGTGTCCATTTTCATTCCCGCTATATGAATAGCAAAAGGCCTTTTATCATGGCTTCATCAAGGCCCACAAAGGGGCCCTTTCGAAGCTTAAAATTAAATAAATCTGTAGAATACATTTATGTATCAATTCTTGAGGAAGTTAAAAGAATAATCTGCATTATTAATTGCGAATATCTTTTTTTAATGATTAATTTTGATTAAAAACATCTCTCTGTATTTTTGTACTGAATTCGCCATTGTGATGTTCAAGAAAGCGAGTTCAATTAAATGTAATATTTTGTGATTTTTACACAAATCTTTAAAGTATTTACAGAACCTGATTAATTAATTTAATTTCGCATGCAGTTTATTCCATAATTTTCATTTACAAGACTGGACTATTTTTTATACGTAAGTAAAGTCTAATCTTATGGTGAACGGACTATTTTTCACGTATTGTACTGCCATCTGTCGTTCATATTTGTAAATTTTAAAACTAAAAAAACCTAAAAAAGTGCCGTTTATATCTGTTCATATTTGTAAATTTTAAAACTAAAAATATTATTATAAATATTATCTTATTGGAAAAAAATGAGATAAAAAGAATTAAATTAAATAACTTATAACAATTCAAATCACTATAATTTGTATTATTTTCTGAGAAGTTCTCCACAAAATTTCACAATATTGTGAATCTATTATTATTTTGTGTACATGTTAAGGAATAATGGCCTTAATTTAATATCTAATTTAAAAATATTTCTTATAAAATTTGAGAATATCTTATAATATAAACTGACATGTAAAGTATACGGCTATATGTAAATTATAGGGATTTAATGTGTAGATTGTAGAGGGCATAAAACATATCCATGTTTACAGTACAATACACGTGTATAGAAAGTGAATGGATGTTAATTTACATACAGTACAGTATATCCATAAAGTATATAGATTTACATAAATTGTAGGCGGTTACATTAATGTACTGTACATGTACTATAGTAATACAGCAAACATTATGTAAAAATGGTTTATTAGATAATAATTTGATTATAACTTTATACACATAAATATTTAATAATAAAGTTATACATTTATATAATATTTTTACTTTATTCTTTATATTACTGTATAAATTTTAGGTTTTTCATCTAATGTGAACTCCAATTTTAACTTCTGATAATAAGTTTTCACAATAACGAAGCAGTAAGTCTATTTAAAAAAAATGAGATTAATTTTTAAAATTAATTCAGTAAAAAAAATAACAATAAATTTGAAATATTCAATTCTACAATTATACAGGGTTGTCCAAAAGTTGGTTAACTTTTGTAAAGACTAAGCTATTGTGTGTTGTTATTTATTAAAAACTTTGATGGCTTACTCGAGCGATTTACTGAGTTAACCGACTTTTGAATCACCTGGCATATAGATTTATTTAATTAAATTGTATTGGGTATGAATATTTTACAATAGAATAAATATATTTCAATTAAGATAAAGGTAATAGTAACACTTTTATGTCGGGTTTTTTTTCCGCAAATTACTGAAATGTAATCGCTACAAACCAACTTATGGACCACCCTACTTATAAAATTATGTATTTTGATATTGTTTAAAGTGTAAGAAATAAGAAACTTACGTGTAAAGAAATCATAGCAACCATTATCATCAATAAGATGAAGTGAATCTAGAAAATAATAAAATATTTAAAGAAACTATAAAGATGTAAATCACTTGAATAATGAAATTCTACTTACAGGATGCAAAATTTCAAAAACGGTTGCCAAAAACAATATTAAAGAACCATATTGTATTGTAATTAAAATAATCATGCATACCATCCATGGTACCAACATTAATCGAATTTCCTAAAATAAAATAAAAAAATACGTTAAAAACAATTTAATATATTCAAATTTAAGGAAGAACATGTCAACCAGTAGCAGTCGACCCCCCCTATAACACTGTTGATAATTCCGTTTTATATGAATTCCATGTTGTACGAGTCACTTAGATTTTACAAATACGTGAGCCGTTCACAGCCCGGCACACATATTTGTAAAATCTAAGTGACTCGTACAACATGGAATTCATATAAAACGGAATTATCAACAGTGTTATAGGGGGGNAAAGATACAGATTTAACATCTGAAAACTCCAACCTTTCTAACAGCATGTAATAAAGTTATACTGCAAAGGAGTAATGCCAAAAAAATTACTATCCCTGAAAGAGAAATTCCTTTATCTAGAATAATAAAAAAAAATTAAAAATAAAAATTTTCTTTATGAATTTCATGAAAGATCAATGTACAAATTAAAAAAAATTATATTTACTTACATATAATATGTCCACTTGGGCCATAAAGAACATAGTAGCTTAATTTAGTTCCTATATAAACCGTGCTCAATAAAGATATTATCTAGGAAAATAAATAAATAATTTAATTTTTATATTAATAAATTTGCATATTCTGGAATTTTTCTATAGTTAATTATATATAATTTACTTAGAATAATAGCAAAAATAACAAAAGGAATTAGTTCTTGTTACAGAGGAACTAGAAGGGTCCTTTATTACAGCTGCAATAATATGAGAGCCAGCAGAACCTTTTATTGTTAATCGTAACAATAGAAAAAGTATAAATAATCGGTTCTTAACACATGGTAACTCTTAGGGCCCTTTATATATATTCAATAATCGGTTCCTAACATAAAGGGCCCTGCTAGTCTATTTGTGTTAGGAGCTGAATTAAACATTCAATAAGTTCCTTAATTGATATACTTTGATGTGTTAGATAACATCTGAAAGACAATAATTTATTTAAACTTTTAAATTAATTATTAGATAACAACATCTCTACAAACTTGTAGTGTTATCTGGATCAAAATCTACTACATTAATTACTTGTATTACTTGTAATGTGTACGACCTTGAATCTACCGATTTAGCCGGAGTCTGTTAATTTTTATATTTTTTTGGTGTACATTTGAAGTGTATTTTTACTTACAAAACATCCTGCAATATATTATCTTGTAAAAGGTTAAAAATAAACTTATACAGTTTAACTTATAAGGTGTGAGCAGGATCTAGAACATCGATTCGGATGAAATTTTGCAAGTAAAAATGTACCCGAAATGTGCAAAAATGTACATAAATCTCAGCTAAATTTATGACCTGAAGGTCTTGCTTATTGCACATTTCCCCCCCCCCGGTTTCTTTTTGCCTTGAGGTCACTAAAATGGCCTCTTTTCTACACATTGTAAATTCTTAATAAAAGATCGGATGGTGAGGGGGTGAGTTATTCAATATCCGGATGTTCCCTGAAAGAAACCCTGCATATATATATACAAAAAACATCATAATACATAGCGATATCTTCAAGAAAAATAACTCTAAGAGCAGAAAATAAAGCAGAGTTCATTAACCTATCATAATACTACACAATATTTTAATTATTTTGTTTTATTCAAACGTAAAGTAAAAAATTAACCTACTTAAACTTTTTATGGATTGTTAACTATCAACACTAATGCTAGAATTAATGTTTACACGTATAATTATTTCTATATAAAAGTAAACTCATACTAACTGTTGTATAAACTCCTGATGCGAAAGAAGCATCTTGATTATTAGAAAAACAGAAACACTTGTTTACACGGCATTCCATATCGAAGAATTCCTCCTAAAAATGTAGAAGAATCAAATTAATTGCGACTTTTCTTACATCCTATTGCACCATATGTAGCAACATACAGGAACTCAGACATTTGAAACAATATTGCGAAATCCACATTTTAAGATAAAAGTTATGGTTATAATTCTAAATTTAAGTCTATAATGTATAAATTACAACACTTATCATTTAAATAAATAAAATTTTAAGCAATTTTACAGCATTTAGAGCAAAAATACAGTACGGGTACAGTACAAAATTTAATACTAAGATGTCGATTCCACTGCGTTAAATGTAGTTTAAACTATGAAATAGTAGAATTAGGAGTTTTATTTATTAAAAAAAGGTGTTAATTAAGTTATTTAAAATGTAAATTATTTTATATGTGACAATATTATATACTTACGTTTACGTGTTAGTTCAGAAATCGTTAGGTCATACTGCAACAGAAACTGGTTTTGCAGGAGGAAACAAGCATGTCCGCTTACTTTTATTTTGTTTGAAAATAGGTTACTTCACCCGTATATTATATCTATTACCATTTAGATTCGTTAAATTTTATTTAATTATTTATAAAAATTTAATAAAAAATTACAGCGTACTCGAGCTTTACAAATACAATACTCTTTTATTATTTTTAAATCCACCCTGTGGCGCTTATAAGTCCTTTTTTTTCCCCATACCCAACGTGGGTTCGATTAGGTCCATAATGGGCGAGGGACGTGGCTTCAGATAAAAATTCCTTAGACATCGACCCAGCTTCGAACACTGATAATTGCATTTAACATATAAAAACTTTTTATAACAAAATCTGATAACAGATGACACCACGTGCATTTTTATTTTTAGAGAGGTCGCAGCCTACGTTTTCATCGCGAAAACGTGTACGTCGGACGTTCAGCGCCGCCTTCCTGTAAACCTAGAAGTTTGACAATGGCGTTTAGAACGTCAGTGGAATTATGCTCGACGTTCCAAAACGTCATTTTCAAACTTCTAGGCTTACAGGAAGGCGGCGCTGAACGTCCGACGTACACGTTTTCGTGATGAAAACGTCGGCCGCAACCTCTCTTATGAAACAAGAGATTAAAAATCGTAAATCATTTCCTGTTTAGGGCCTTTATTCAAAGGCTAAAAGGGCCTTTATTTAATTAAGCCCAAGTACGGCCAGGCCCGCAATAGTGAAGAATGGGGTCCGACATGACTATTTCACATAGTTGTTCCACGGGAATTGTCGTTTCAATGGAGTTGTTTCTGGAGGGGGTCCGGGATTCAGAACATTCTCAAAGCTAGTTTAATTAAAAGTAGCCAACCAATAATATTTTTTATTACTTTAAAAATCGAAACAGGATAACAGAAATTAATAATAATAATAATAATAAGCAAATGCAAAACTAAAATTAATTTCGTTTTGGTTTAAATGAAAAAAGTTAATCATTTCGTTAAAAGTAAATTAATTAAAATACCAGATATAATCCTTTAAAATTTAGAAATATATTTTAATTTTTGATGCTCTTTATAAATATAATTATTGCGCATTAATTATATAATAATCATTAATTATTTTTAAGCAAATACTTTTTGAATTAAGGCATATGTAACAAACAGTAGCATGATACTTTAACAAAATTAAGGTTGTGAATACATGGAAAATGACATCACGCAATACAGGAAATATTTGGGTATATCATGTAAGTATAAGACAATCCTTATTGCATTTTCTTATTGTTTTAATAGTTATTTTATTGTTCTAAATTTCATAAATTCAATACTTTCTTAGCCAAATGATATTATGGAATGTTTAACTTCTTTGATAAACAAGGAGTCAGCTATAGATGTCGAATTTATAGAAATATCTGTTGCTGATTTCTCACCAGGATGGGTTGAGTATTGCGATGTATTCACAGGAGAATGTTTATATAGAGTAGAAATGACACGTAGAAATTATAAGGTATTACTATTCGTAACATTTTAAACACTTTTATTATGAGAAATAAGGAGAAAAATTCATCTTAGGTACGAGATGGAGAAGAAGCTTCAGGAATTAATTACGAAAATCCTCATGTTGAAATTATAGAGAGTCATTCAACAGATATAATCCCTCGTGAAAATAATTCACCAATTCCATTTTGGACTTCTTGTTGGTGGTTTCTGAGAGAAATCTTTGGTTTATCTTTTAGTTGTGATTTTCTTTCCTCTGAAGATACTAATTGGGATTTAATGGTATGTTTTTTTATTGAATAATAATTTTAATATTTCCCATTTTATTCACTACTCTTGAGTGTACAGAATCCAAAATTATTTCTTTTATTTTAATGATTGGTTCTTCCTGCAATATATAGCACAGGGCTAACAAAAGAGATGGGAAATCGGATCTATTGACAAGTATAGGCCAGAATATTCATGCGTACCAGTGGCCGAGTAGATAAAACTAGTAAACACTGATAATTCAGTTCAGATCGCGGGTTCGTTCCTAACTAACAGGATAACTGTGGAGTTTTCTTCACATGTTTAACACCTTAATAAGGTCAGTTTCCTACTGAAAGTATTCCTAGGGCACATCTCTCGTTGCCAGATGACCCACGTTTTGCGTTGCTGTATCCCATTATTACATTCTACTTCAGATAATAATAAATATATTAATAATAAAACTGAGTACGTCACATTAGAGGATAGAAAGTCTGGAAAAAACCAACTTCAATAATTTCTCTCTACAGTTCTGTACATGATGGTTTCTGCCCTGTGGACACTAAGAGGACTTTTTCCGGGTCCGTCATGGATTTTTCCAGGCCCACAATGGATTGATATCGGCCGGATATGTGGGTGACAAGACATATACTGTACCATCCACGAAAACTTCTCGGGAATCGCTTGCCTGGATTCGATTCCGAGTTCCTAGAGCGGCAGGCTGGCGCCTTAACCATCTCTTTATACAAGGCCATCGCAAGGCGAAGTTTTAAAAAGACTAAAGTTCATGGAATTAATTTGATAAATATTCTGGAATTAAATATTTAATTCTACGATATTGAATATTAAAGATAATTTCTGTGCTACAGCGAGAAAGCGAAATTTGAACCCGGCTGTATTTTTCAAAAACTTCAGATCTTGACTTTTCATTCATATTGGTGATTACAATAAAATGAATACAAAAAATACACAATTCATAAAATATGTTTTCGAAATTGCTAATTGATTTATTATTTTTATGTATCTAAAATATAAAGTTTTTCCTTCTTTTTTAGAATTTGCGAAGACTCATGCTTCAAGAACATTTAAAAGCCTTGAAAAGCTATTATATCAAAAGTAGTTGAACAGGAAATAAGTTTCAAATTTTTTCATGAAAATTTCAAATTTGTTTTTAAATTCTTAAATTTTTAATAAAGAATCTAAACTTAGTCACATGATTTAATTTATTTTACCATGTAAGGCCTTACCGCTCTGAGAAGAACGGTAAGGCCTTAAATACAGGATCGAATCCGCGCTCGCAATGCAGAAATTTTTTATGGACGATCGGGTCTCGTTCCTCACACCTCGGCCGCCTTATTGTGATCTTCTAAACCCACGATGAGCATGGAAAAGACCCTGTCATGGCCCACAGAGCAAAAACAGTAAAAAGAAAGACCTAAAATTATTGAACCACTAAACACTAACAACTGATCGTTGGTCCGCGTCGGGCAAACGGATTGGCCAAGTAAAAGTTTTCTGTGTTTTTTCACATTTGTAACATTTAAATAGGTATCAATTTACCATAGGAAGTCCTATTTATTTCGGCATATCGCTCACGTGTCCCCGTTGCCCTATACAAACAAACATAGTTACTATTAATACTAAAATATTTAGTATAAAAAGCACATAATATTACATATATACTCTTAATTACTTTTAAAATTTTAATAATAATATAATAAAACTGAAAACATTTTATTAAAATTTTATAAAAAATCTAAATTTATATTTTTAAAAATAATTTAACGTATAGAATATTCTAGATGGCTCTGTGCTGAATTAAAAATGGCAGCCATAAGGGATAAGACTTGATAGTAACGTCTTTAATTTTTCAAAGAAAAAATTCAAATTTCTTGTCATTTTAGATATTTAACTATTACATTGTAATTATTTGAGTGTTTTTAAGGGGATCAACGTCCATGGCAAGAGATTCTCGGTTAGTATTCTTATATATTTTCTCTTATGTTTATCACTATCTAAAACAAAGAATGAACGTATATTATATAAAACACGTTGTTTTAAATTGATTTTATATTATAAAACTCGCTAAATCATTCGTCAATATCTTTTGAAAAATAATATTGTGATGGAAAATTTTGAATCTTAAAGCATCAAGCATGTTTTAAGAATCAAATCAACAGTATACAAAGCATTCAACCTGTAATATTGTAAAAAGCTGGTTTCATAAGGCAAAACATGCTGACAGCCAAATGTGATTGTTTTGACAATTCTGATGGGATTCTCTATGGCACAAATGCTGCTATGAAGAGACATTTGGGATCTTGTCAGAGCTGTAGAACATATCTATACGAACAAAAATGTCAAAGGAACCGTACCTCTACCGGCAATCTTTCTCCAGATAAAGCCCCCCGAAATTGGGTTGTGCAAGATTGTGAGTTGTGTTGCTTCACTAAGACTATCGTGTTTAACTGTATAGCCCCAATGACTATGCCGGTTTCGAGTAGCCCACTCGACTGTTCTTGGAGTACTTGATGTTATATAGTTTTATGGGGTGCGAGGTTTGCCCCTATCTGGGTGCTGAGGTGTGAGTGATAGAGAGCACTGAAGTGCACAACGACGCGGAGCATGGAGAATAGGCAGTATACTGATACATGTGAATACGGGGGGTTAAGGCTCCCGTTCAGTTGTCAGGATGTCTAATTGACTCTCAAATGTCAGGCGAGTGGATGGAGAGAAGTTGGGGTCGACGATAAGGTGAAGGGCGTGATCTAAACATATCTAAAACAATATAACAACTATTTATTAAAGAAGCAAAATGGACAAAAACTACACAAATAGCGTTTCTATACCGCTTATTTTCCCGAGAGAGAGTTTCCCGCTTTTCATACCTCTTTGAATGTACCTTTTCCGACTAAATCCGTGGTGGCACTTAATTGTCAGAAGGGAAATGGGTTTTATCCAATCGAGCACAATTATACAAAGTTCGCGACTTTGGCGATGATCGTTTATCATTGGTCGTAGATTGGAATTCGGCGGGTTCGGAGAATCGGCGCGATGTCGTTGGTCCAGCGTTTGGTAATAGACTCCCCCAGAGAGGGGATAAGAACAGTCTTTTATAGGTTTTAGTGGGGAATTTCCACTACGTGATCGGATGTTCATGAGTTAAAGGTTATAGTTGTTCCTGGGATCTACAACAAATGACGACATTTAGATGCTAACTGTAAACCTTCTTGCAAGACGAGATGCAAGTTCTGCAAAGAACAATGGATGTTGCTAGTTATGACCGGAAAGCCCAGGAAAGATCGTTTTTTCTTCTAGGCATTACATAAATGAAAGTTTAATTAATTAACATTTTTGTTAATAAAGGAGCGGGAATTTCGTCACAAAAATTCCAGATCTCACATTCATTTTAAAAACTGACTTTTTTTAGAGGCGAATATCTTGCAAAGGGTCCCATGTACTGTACAGGTATGGTTTCTTTCACTTTTTTGCTCATATAGGTATGCTCTACAGCTCCAATAAGATCCCAAATGTTTCAATCATTGAATTGAGCAATACCGGATAGGTTGATTTTGAGGGAGGGAAGCTATATTTCACAGAGTCACATATAGTGGTTTATGATTCTTTGGAGGTACAAAATCCCTCATTCAGAGCTTGAATCTTATCTCTGTATCTTGAAAATGCTCAAAAATGGGGTAAAATTTAAGAGTAAAAATTTCTGGAATTATTTCTCAAAACAATGAATGTGTGTTTAATAAGGCTGATTTTGGTGGCCATGTCTCGTGTTATGTGTATACCATCAGTTGTTTTGACTTTTTTACTTCTGTATTTATGGTCTACAGCTCCGTTAAAGTCCCAACCACTTCCATTTGTACTGTCTCCAGTGCTGGGTATCCATCTTTTTTCTGAGAACTGCTGTTTTAGTTGTAAAAGATAAGTCTGGTGGCAGGTAGAAAAAATAAATTTTTTTTTTATTTCTGAGTAACAAAGGACAAATCAATGTGAAATTTGCAATTTACTATACTATTATAGAAGTAGTATAGCATTGCTTTCTCTCTAAATTTTGTTTTTAAAAGAGAAATACATGATATTAATTTGCAAAACACACAAGAATTATTTGGTGCCAACCCATATAAAAAATGCTATAAACAAAAACTGATAGGACTACTTATTGACACTGCACTGTTTGGGTGCCATTTCTTTAGCTCATTTTCATTGTGGAGTATCACATTGGATGGCAGATGCATACAAAACGTGTCACATGACCTCACTTTGAAGTCGCTAGGTCGTGTGACTACCTCAAAATGTCACTCACCTCATCCATGTGACATCTCTGACTTATTTCCTGTGTATTTTTTGGGCTCTGAAGAGACTACAGACTGCAGCTTGATAAACATTGTATTTGTTACGTTTCCAGTCATACCATAGCATTCTATAACAGAACTCACTGACTTAAGATATAGTAATGGTGTTTTATTTTTCAATATTAATTCCATAAAAAACAAGAAATAAATTACTTTAAAATTCAGATTAAATACTTATAATCCTAAATAAATAAATATAGATTTGTTCTCTAAATTTACAAATGTGTGTGTTTTATGTAACAAATTGTTTTATTTTAAAATTTGAATTAAAGTAACATAATAATATATATAAGACTTTTTCATTTGGAAATAATAAAATGTTTTATTTAAAACAATAGATTTAATGTGTATTAGAGCAGTGCTTCTGAAACTTTTTGTGTTCCTGGGCTAGTAGTTTTGTGAAATTAAATAAAAATAATTATAAAATGGACCAGCACTGTTAAGATGCAAAGTTCAATTGGTCATAGACAAAGGGTATCGGCATCAAGTTAGTCCTGGAACTTTGTTTTTAATTTTTTTATGAATCATTAGTGTCAATAGTCTGTTAAAATAATGAAAAGGTGTTAATGCTCTGTCCCCACTCTATCATTAAATAATATACAATTAATTTTGGTACTTTTATAATATGAAAGCATCAAGTTAAAACGAGAAACGAAGTATAGAATGAATAAAATGAACCTACATAGGTATTGTATTAGAACTGTAACAGAATTATGTTACAGAACCCTTATAAGTCAAACATTATGCTATTTGTGTATTTATTTAAAAATTTTAATTAAAAAAATTAATATATGCAATACCTTCATTAAATAATACAAGACTAAAATGAAGAATAGGATTCATTAGAGAAAAACAATAATAAAATTTAATATTTCCTGTTCTAAATATTTTCTCCTTTTTAAAGAGTAATTTTCTAGGAAAGTTTTAAGGCTGCTATACAAATAATTTCATAATTTATCCGTTGACAAAAACTCTTCCTAACCCTGGGGTGGCCAACAGATTTTGCCCCCGGCCAAATTGGAAAGAAAACTTTTTTTACGGGCCGAACCAGAGGCTGAAAATTTTGAGGTGATGTGAGATCTCATTGTGGTGTCAGCTGGTAGAGACTAAATTGTACATAGAGATTACAGATACATTTTTCACATTATCAAGTTTTATTAACTCTAACCAGACAGTGAGTTGTTGATCCTTTTTTTTTTTAGGCATTAGAATTTTTCACCGATCTATTCTGACTTGAGTAGCTAATATTAAAAGATTAATCGCGGGCCACATAAATCCATTACATGGGCCATGCCTGTCCTTACCTGTTACTGGTGTGTTCTCCTTCTTCTATAAAATCATAAACAATAAAAAATAGCTCTTTACTAACGTTTTTGAAACTGAATGACGGTTCTTCTTCAGGTATTTTTGAATCTCTGATGGAAATGCAGCTCATAAAACATCAAATTCAAAAATATGTATGTTTGAATGCATGCTTCCCGTTTACATCTTTGTTTGTCATGCGCAGTCAGTTCCAATACGGCTATCATAAATTACTGTTCATAAGCGCCTGCCATGCTACTGATAGCGTAATCTCTTCTTTATGATTGATGCATTGATTATTCCTAAAGTTAGCTAAGTATAAGCTGGCTGTTTCTAGCCACTTGATATGGTGTATGTTGCGTGTGGTATGGATAATTCTGGCTTNTAAATATTTTCTCCTTTTTAAAGAGTAATTTTCTAGGAAAGTTTTAAGGCTGCTATACAAATAATTTCATAATTTAT